CACCCCAAGGTGTACAGGGAATGGCTCTGACTCCCGGCCACGTAGTTTTACCCGGGCCCGCTCACCATCATGAAGGTCCTTAATGATCGTGAGCAGAGGGTCAGGTACTCCAAAAGCACGAAGAACGACCCAGAGCCCAGGCCTACTGATGGTATCATAGGCCTTGACCAGGTCAATAAAGCAGAGATGTAGGTCTTGTTGGAATTCCCTACACCTCTGCTGTAGCAGACGGACAGAAAATATGGCATCTGTGCAGGACCGTCCTATCCTGAAACCGCATTGGGGCTCCGCAAGCCTCTTCTCAGCATGCCTGGCAAGGCGATGCTGAATAATCCTTGCCAGGACCTTTCCCGGCACACTGAGGAGTGAGATGCCCCTGTAGTTGTTACAGTCTGTGCGGTCCCCCTTCTTAAAAAGGGGGACCACCAGGGCATCCTTCCAATCCTGCGGAACCCGTCCAGTGGTCCATACTGTTGTTATGATGTCATATAGGGCAGTCTGTGCGCAAACGCCACCCTCCCTCAGCATTTCGCTTGGGAGATCATCTCTGCCCGCTGCCTTTCCTGGTCTCAGACTCCGGATCGCCTTCATTACTTCCTCAGCAGATGGCACCTCAGCCAGCCACTCACAGGGGGTGACTTCTTCCAATATTTGAGGCACCGCAGCCTCAGCAGGGTCATCCTCACTTTGTGCCACGATGTTTTCCTGGCTGAGGGATTTTCCCTCCCCCAGGACCTCACAGAAATGCTCAGCAAATCTGCAAACCTGTTCCTGGGGGTCGGAGATTGGATCACCGTTTTTTCCCCAAATGATGGTAATAGGTGTGGCGCTGCAGGTTACTTTTTTGATGGAGTTAAATAGAGATTTGTGATCACGGGCCACTGAGGCAGACTCCATCTCCTCAGCAACCCGCGACCACCACCCATCCTTGCAGCGCCTCACGGCTCTCCGAACCTCCGAGCGAAGGCTGCGGTAAGCCTCCTCATTCTCTGACGTGGGATTCTGTAGCCGATGGCAGTGGGCCTGTCGCTTTTTCTCAACCATCCTGAACACCTCTTCTGTCAGCCAGGGTCTCTGGGGAGGTCTGGACCGCGTACCCAAAGCAGCCATTGCAGCTGCATGAGTCACAGTCCTAAACCTCGCCCATTTACCCTCGACATCAGGAGGAGTCGTGGACGATGCCAATCCCAGCCGCAAGCGATGATGAAATTCTCGCTTGCAACTTTCATCAGATAACTGAGACCAGGCCACTTTAGGTCGGAATGGGGTCCTGGGTATACACCCACCACCGGAGTGGAAGAATGGCAGGCGCATCTTACAGATGACTAGTCGATGGTCAGAGGGCAGATCAGCTCCACGGTAGGTCCTGGTGTCAAGGACATGGGCTCGCATCCGCTGGTCTGTCACTATGTAGTCCAGCAGATGTTCTTGCTTGGACCCGGCATGCATCCATGATGTTGTGAGGATGCGCCGATACCGGAACAGCGTGTTGGTAATTACAAGCCCATGGGCTGCACAACAATCTAGCAGCCTCCTACCGTTGTTATTGAGCTGATCTGGCCCATGCCCTCCAATCACTCCAGACCAGGTGCCAGTATCATGACCAACTCGGGCATTGAAGTCACCCAACATGATGACTCTATCCCGAGGGGCCACTTTAGCCAGCACCTGTGACAGGAGGTCATAGAAGGCATCTGACTCATCGGCTTTGCCTGCATCCCTCCACGGATGTTCATCTTTGGTGGGGGCATAAGTAACCACGACCACCATTCCTCGCCTCTGGTTGATGGGAAGGCGAGCCCAAAGTAGCCTGGGGCTTACAGCTTCCCACACCTCACCGCCACGCTCCCACGCCCCCTTCATTCTTTTGTTCAAAAGAAGAGCCACACCCTGTTGTTTGGCAGTCTGCTGCCCCGAGTAGAGGACTGTCCACCCCTCATGGTGGCAGGAGCCAGAGCCGGTCCACCGGACCTCCTGAATGCCGCATAGATCCAGGCGGTACCGGTCCAGCTCCCGACAGAGTAGTGGCAGCCTCTCCTCCGCAGTGAGCGTTCGAACATTCTACGTGGCCACCCGTAGTGGCTTTTCGTTGTTTCTGGAGTAGCCCCGAGGGTAGGTATTCAATCTCCTGGCTCCGCCAATTGGGGTTTGGCCAGGAGACGTCATAGACGCCTGGCCCCCCAGGGCCTCCGGCACAAGCTTATTAGTTACATATTTCAGTTTAACTCGTGGTTTCGTGGTAATTAATTGAAGGTGGAGGGGTTACCAGCCCCTCGCACCCGTCCAGAGCCCCCGTTTAGCCCCTGTGGTGGACACATATGCCATGAGGGGAGGAGCCAATCAAAATTGGATCTCCCCCCACAGCACTGTCCACGACAGAGTTGCCCGTCCGGCACCGCGAGGAGCGCGCTAACCACTACACTACAATGCGTTACGCTTCCACATGCGCGGGTCACGTGACAGATTTGACGTCACAGCTCACTTGCCGTGCAAAAAATAAATGCATTATTGAGCCCCCCCCCCAAAAAAGTATTTTATAATTTTTGCATGGTGTAAAGTACCCACATGGCAAATTTCAAGTTTGTTGCATGTCGGGAATTACGCTAAACATTTTGAACAGATACACAATCACAACTTTGCCTTTTATATATATGGAGATAGTCCTGTGAGCCATGCGGCTCTTGAGACGGGTGCAACCGCAACAAAACAAAAATATGAACAGAGAAACATCTTAAAGCGACGACGACGCGCAACAGAAACATCCTGGGATAAACCAGCAAATCTTCCAGAAAAAAACCCCACCGTATTACAACGCTGTGTGCAAAAATCCCAGCGGGATGCAAGTCAAACAATAACAACCATAAGACAATTGAAATTAAAGTTATCAGGCCAACTCCGCACTTCCGCAAGAAACATGGCTTAACCATGTGTTTTCGAAATCACCCAAATAAAGCTGTAAAAACAATGTAACAACGGTAATCATAAGAGCTGTGAGGTGGGGTTTATCACGGACTGTATAGTCCACCGCCATGTGCAAGTCATTGGTGACTTCATTGAAGTACTGTACGATCCAATTATAATTATATTTACTAATGCCACTTATTACATAGGGCACATCCGAAGTCTCACGACTCGTTTTCGGTAGGGTCCTTCATTTGGATGTTTGCCCAATGCTCTTTCAACACAATGTTTGGTGATGCATTGGCAGTGATGCTCAAGCACACGGTCACAACAGCCAATAAGTGGCCTTAAAAGAAAAAAATAGGCGACGTTCTTGGTAATGACCCTTTTATAGCATTTGAAGAGTCTACGGCAATGTACAATAATGTACTGTAATGTGAGGTCATGCAATACCTATGTCACACTCGTTGTCAGTAGGCTTCTGCATGTGGACGTGATCAATGGTATTTTTAAGGAGTGTTTTTGCAATACAATGTAAGAGGAAACACAATGGCTACTTGTTGTCACACAGCGATGCAGTAAATCCACGTGCAGCTCTGTAGTGCAGCACTGGTGACATTGCATGCATGGTTAGCGAAAAATATAAATACGTGACCTTTTAGTGCTACATTAGTATGTTGGCGTTTGCTTCACAAAATTACATTAAGGAGTGGCTATATATATCTGGTGTATTGATCCGGTCATCAACCACCACCACCACCACACACAATGACACGAGGGTAGAATGCATTCCCGAGGTGTGGCATTGGCATGAACGACTCTTTGCCACCCACGATGGTGTCTTGATCTAAAGAAGTGCTGTAGGTTTGTTTCATCCATTGTCTCAGCAGGCATTGAGGGTCTTTAGCAAGTGATGGCAACTCCACATTCTAGTGGCCAGTATTTACATGGGGCAACCACTGTTGAAATTCGCACAAAAGATGGGCCGAGTGGGTCATTGACTAGGATTTGAACTGTCAGATTGTAACTTTCCTTTTCTGTTTATATAGTAGCACTTTTAAGCACAGTACCACCAGGGTTCGTACATAAGCAATCAACACATCGCTATAAAAATAACATTCACTCACAATTCAATCGCTTTAACAAAAGATTTGCTTTGTCATTGGAGTGCTTGTAGAGGCTGTCTTTAAGTGGCAAACTATTGGAACCGATTCATCGATTCGGTCGATCGACGAAGCTCGCCGCCGATTGCAGCGATCGATCCGTGGCTGTCAACAAACAACTCCATCCGCGCATGCGCGTCGGGAAATTCCCAGCCGCCCCCCCCCACGTCACGTGACGTTCGTCACTGTCACGCGCCCGCTGGTCGCGTCACACAGCCCGCGCGCGCCCCCCCCGCCACCGTTTTCCCACGTGACGGTTGCTCACCGGGTGACGTCGGCCCCGTGCCATCACGTGGGTGATACGTGTTGGTGGCGAAATCGTCGTCATCACTCTGGAAGTGTCGAAATATTCTAGAATTGTCTTAGGGCCGTCCATAAATGACGTCACTCACCTAGGGGGGGGGGGGGTCAGACATTTGTGACGATGTTTGACGAGGGGGTGTTGAGAAAGGTGACGTCACATCAAAATGCGCAACTTTAAATAAATATAGAATTATATTCTTGGTTCTTTCGGTAAAGTCACGTAGAAGGGAAACAATAAAATAATAAAAATATTGCTTTATAATATTTTTTTATTGTTTCCCTTCTACGTGACTTTACCGAAAGAACCAATAATATGAATCCCTGCAGTCACGAAAGCTTTAAATCAAAATATAGAATTGTTATAAGAACACTATCAGAGTGCAGCGCCACATTAAATACGCACTACAATGACAATAGTTTAAAGCGATTTGAAGCATGTTTTACTTTCATAATGGGAATATGGTTTTGGGGGAGGCAGAGCTTTGTGACGTCATATTTGAGGGGGGTCTGACTTTTTGTGACGCCGTGTGACGAAGGGGGGGGGTCAAAAATCGTCCAAACGCGCGTGACGTCATTTACGGACGGCCCTTTTACAATCGGTGCGTTTTACCGCGATCATGATGACGTCAAAATTCTACACCTGGACTACTTCCGCTCAGCAGCTCAAGCGTGATGTCATTGCCCTGCGGGCGGAATGACGTCTTTGCTCGCTCGCGTTTCGTGACGTCATCGCGCGGCCCTTTACCAAAGGCGGGAAAGTTTCGTTGGGCAGGGCGTTAACAACAACAACATTGTTGTCATCGTTATATCGGCGTTACAAATTACACAACGTCGCCTATTGTCGCGCTTTGGTGTCTTGATACCAGCATGGTCGACTTTCAAGTGCTACGCTGCTACGCGTGCGGAACTTTCCAGGTTCATCAGGCGAGTTTTGCGCGGATGAACCACTTTTAATTAAACCATCAACACATTTGGTGTGATATGAATATGGATCGTTGCCCGAAACATCGCCTGGCATATTTTTTTTTCTGTTAAAGGCTGCAGTGATATTTATGCATGCGTTGAGTTTTAGTTTATGTTAGTTTGCCCGTGTGCACTACTGCCAACGTAGCAGTATCGCCAAATTACTTGCTTGCATGCCGTATTGTCGCATATGTAATTGAAAGGCTTGCATGGGCCACCACGCCTGGCTAAGATTAAAAAAACCCTCGTGTCCATGGTTCAATTTGTGTACCGGGAACGAACTCCACTAAGCTGCCATACGGCTCACCCCGCAAGGGGGGGGGTTCCCCATGTGGTCGTTTATGGCTTTTTTAATATTTACGTCTCGCTGTCATAAAGTTTTTTTTAATGACTGGCACATAAATAACTTGCGTAATAATTTGGCGATACAGCGTTCGTTGGCAGTGGTGCACAAATAGCACGGCGCATAGGACATCCTATGTGCTATGAAGCACATACAAGTCCTATAGGATGGCCTATGGGACTTTATGTGCTGGCTGGCACCCGTCTGGAATACGGCATGGTGGAGGTAGCGAGGGTTGGTGGGTCGCACAATTTGTTGTGAAAACTCCATTGCCGTGGGCGTCGAGGTGCCATAGTTATGCTGGCTGGCCCGGAAAAGGCAGTTGCAGCAAGTGTACTAATCACCATGTGTTTCCATGTGTACGGGGATACAGTGTTTCTCCCTCACGCACGTGGGTTTCCTCCGAGTGCTCCGGTTCCCCCCCCCCACTTGTATAAACACGCATTGACTGAAAACATACTAAAATTAAAACCCAATGCAAGACCCTACTGAAAAGAGTCATATGACTCAATGTGGCTTTTCCAGATAAATAATTGAATGAATCAAGTTCCATTGCCCGAAGCGTCATCTATTATATATTTACTTTTAAGGCAGTAGTATTATTGTTTTGTCACTATGGCTCCCTTGCAGTAGAGTACATTGTTTTAATTGTACAAGCTCATCATTCCCAACATGTCCGTCTGTTTTCATATCTGCAGGTGAAAAGTAGTTCAAAGTTTACTTGCAAAATGTGTGGAGAGAAGCAATCCGTTAAAAAGGTTAGATGTGCACCTCTCATCTATTTCCTGTACACCTGTGATTGTGTACCTGTGCATTTGTGTGTTGATATGCATATGTACAGAAATTGTACTTGAGTCAGCTTCGACTTTTATACCTATGCATGCCAGTGTGTGTGAATATCTTTTGTGTATATGTGTGCAGGTCTATGCTGTGTCAAGTGGAAAGGACTGTCGAATGATTGTGCAGCAGCTCAACCGCTCACAAGGAGAGAAACATGACCAGAGGTGGCTCATACTTGTGTAATAACACTTACGGAATATGCACACGCTTTCGCTCTATGGCAGCGCGTACACCCTTAAAGTACCAACACACGCTTGTGCACACACAGTCACAATAATACACATTCATATATTTTTTTTCCATTAAAAACAGCATTAATTGCTCTGCTTATGCACATACAATGTATTGTTTATTCTTCTTCATATAATTATGCATTTTTGTAAAAAAAACTAAGTTAAGGCTGTGATAAAATGCGTCTTGATCTTGAGTGGCATGTTTGCTTTCAATAAGCCATTTGTTAGTTTGCTAATATTTTTGTACTTTTACAAACACAAATATGACGCATATTTAGGCAAAAAAGCACACTAGTGTTTTTAACGCTTGACTTTTCACACACTTGAATATTACTGTTATGTTGTGCAAAAAATACACACATTGTATGATGCCACACTCTTGTGGACCTAAGGTAAGTGTTTCTCAGCGTATCCGTATTGTCAAAATGACTAATGATGGTCAACGCCTTGTATCATAGGGCTGCTGGCACGAGTGACGATGGTTCGTCTAAAGATGATGATGATGATGATTGTGGAGGCAATGCTGCTGATCGTGAGCCGGATGTCTGTGGGGATGTAGATGCGGAGAGATCAACTTTATCATCAGGGTAAGAACTGCCCAAAGCTGTGGAACACTGTCCCATACTGTATTTGGTGTCTTGAGATTCTGCTCCAAGAGGCCAGGATCTGGATTTTGATGTTCAAGATTTAATACCAACTTGCATAATGTTTGTCCATGAAATCGGTCTTCTGGAGACCACATTAAATTGTTACTGGCTTCATTATCGGCTTCAGAAGGCCCGGTGTCAGTGCATCTCTTGAGACATGGCTCCAGGAAAATGGGTTTTGGATTTAACATTTTTTAGGTTCTGTCTTTACAAGTCAAGATTGGCAGATTAACAGAAATAACTAGCCCATTTGTATAACAGCATTTATTGATTAAAAGGTGAAAAAGTGTTGTTGCTGTAATATTGGTTATGAGCTCGAGGAAGTGTACCACTGATAAGTGACACAATAGCATGTGGGTTACAGGCGGTGGGCCAGGTTTGTGGACTCAACTGCACCATGTGAAGATGCTGACAATGACGAGGAGGCTGAGTCGGTCACTCTCAACCAGAGTGAGTGGATGGGGTGAGTAACTGGAGAGGAATATTTGCACTAAAAGCAGACTTATAAATTATAATTCCAAATGCGTTGATTCTGGCATTCACTTATCCGCTACTCATTTCATTTGTACTGCAGCATTACATTATGGGCACCAAAAGTAAATTCTGTACTGTACTTCTATGCCCCCACGACTATGCTCCCCACCATCATTCTGCACTGACTAGTGTGGTGAAGTATAATCAAATAACCCCCACAAGCTGCACAGCTTGAGGACGCCTCTCTTCCAGCAGTGGATTTACATTTAAGTGAATGTTTATGTCACATGGAGAAATTGCCGTGTAGTTACTTAGCGTTGCAGAAGTCAGGGTTAATTCCTTTGACTCTGGTATCTCAAACAAATTATGGTCATACCCAGTAGGTTTGATAGTCTTATTCTGGTCATCATTTATTTTGCAAGGTTTTTTTGTAAAAAAAAAAACATTGGTTATCCCTTTTTCGAAATGATTGCTTATAATATTTTCATCATTTTGATACTGATAAAAAAATGTCCCTTTGTAAAAGTTTGGTTTAAAGTTGTCTGATGGTCTATAGAATTCAATGCTTTGACACAGTGATAACAAGTGTTCAGAATTGTGTATTAAGCCTTCGAGTCTCATTCTTGCATGGATTGTGTTGTTCACAGGTGTCGACGCCAAGGCAGAAGCTTGACGCGGGTACGAAGAAGACAGGGTCCCAAGAAAGATGAAGAAACATTGCCTCACATCGCAAAGAGAAATCGAACTCTCACTGCCTGGACACCATGCGCAAATGACACTATTTGCCCACAAGGCAAAATCAATCTCCCTTTCCTTCAAGCCACAGTAGACCCTCTCTGCTCTCACGAAAAAACTGACATGACCTACTCTCAGGACCAAGGCAACTCTGTACACATTCAGGATAAAATTGAATATATTTGCAATCAAGAAAACACCGGTGCTGTCTTTCCTCAAGGCAAAATTGACACTGTCTCTTCTCAGAGCAAAATTTATTTTAATCAGGAGAAAACATACCCTCTTGCCCCCCAAGGTAAAAGCAACTTCTGTCCTCAGAGCAACACTGACCAAATGTTTCCTCACCAAAAAGTGGTCTCTATGTGCTCCCAGGAAAAGAATAGCTCAGTCTTCCTTCAAAATAGCAAACATGTCACATTATTTCAAACAGATGATGATTTTGATGAAGACTTTTAATAACAACAGGAGGTAGCCCGGATGCTCGGGCTGATAATGGCTCAAACAGAGTGGATATTAAATTGTTAGAGCCCTAAAACTTCATGCATTGACATTTTATGCCTGCGAAGCCAGCACTGCTGAGCCAGCCCTGCTGAGCATTGTAATGGATGGGCATTCCTTAACATCCCGTGTCCTCTTAGCATACGTACGTATCTCATGAGGTTCATAATAATAACACCCATCGATGAAGAAGACATCTTATTTTCAAAAAAAGATTTCGAGATGTGTAATGAATGTTGATTGATAACATGTTATTTGTCTTCCTTTCAATCAGGTGGTTTCTCTTGCAGATGCATGTCATTGTAACTTGAGAATGTATATACATAGCAATAAAGTTATAATTGAAACACTTATTAATTTAATATGAAATGCGGTACTCCAATGGATTTGATATAAACCAGTGTATACTATTACATCGGATTCATATCTCTGCACACTCGACAGTACCCTTGTCTTTTGCAGGTCGACTTAAGTCTCAATTCTTCTCAGAACCTGCTGTGCATGCACCTTTTGTACCCGTGGGGGCTCTGCCCCTTCTCCCTTTTTTGGACCACAAAGAAGGTTCTTACCTTCAAGATATGTTGCTGTCAGGCTGTATGTCCCTCTTTTCAAGTCCTGCACACCTAGTTTACTGATCCCGCTTGGACACAAGTGGAACCCATTCCGATTTTCCCACACATTCCCTCCCATGTACTGTTACAAATCTGCCCAGCCTTTTTTGCCTCTAGTGTTATACCCAGTTACTCTTAACATCCCCTAACCTGCCACTGTTGGTAGGGAAATGTATGCATCCATATTTAATTGGAAAAACCAATTGCAACATCGCCCCCAAATGACAAACTTGCAGGCTGGTGCTGTCACCTTATGTCAGAGGGATAGCTGTTAGCAAGGAGTCCACGTGACTAAAAAGAGAATTACAACTGAACACGAGTAATTGTAAGATGCTTTGAGATTATGGGTGCACTTCAGTGCCCAATAAATGCAAATCCTTAAATCCTTCATTCTTAGTTAATGTGGGTTGGTGAAGACAACCATCTGACAATGCCCTACTGACACTCGAGTAAATCCAAATTACTTTGGCGTTAGCCAAGGACGCAGCCAAACTGCGTTGATAAAAGCACATGGTTTGAGCAGGACGTGTCGCTTGAAGAGCTTGTAGCCAGTGGTCCGAGCGTAATGCCAATACGCATGGAAAAAAGCCTCGAAATTCAGATCCAAACTACTCTGCTGGGATTGCACACAATCATCGCCTCTTAATGACGAGACAACGCGCCAGGTGCTGTCACTTTGTGCTCACGGGGAAAAGGTACCACGAGGAGACGTAAGAACGCTCTTGAGACGTTCCAGCGTAAAGGAGAGCGATATATCAAAACATGATCGATGTCACGACAATGTTCTTTCATATGGCAATATGTTAATGCGATAAATGCCAATCCTCGAGATCTGATAAACACGACGAGAGAGTTGGTGTAGCTTTGATATCCATTGGATGACATACTACAGTGGTTCAGAATACTGTATTTAAACTGGAGGAATCCGATGAGCTATAAATGTATTTTTCCACATTAGCTATATGGTCCATCGTTTTTGGATTGCACAGTGGCTTTAAATGATATCCACGTATCTCATTGGGTCGCATGCATTTCTGAGCGTCTCTGGGTATCTCTGCGGGTCTCTGTGGTGTCCAATATCGTCCATAGATTGGGTTGCACGGCTCCAATCGCACGACTGGGTGGCTTGTCTTTAAATTTCATCAACGGAGCGCGGTGGGGGTCGTCACGCGGTCTGATGCATGACGTCATCTCGTCCCATTAATTTTCACGAACGGAGCACGGTGGCGTCACGTGGCGTTTATTTTCATGCAACGAACGTAGCACGGATGGCGTCATCGCGCGGTGTCTGACACATGACGTCATGGCGCGCCGCGCGCTTTCCCTTTAAACGTTCATTGACGAGCGCCCGCGTGGGTGTCGGAGGAGGCTGCCGGTTCGTTTTGCCTTCTTGTGGAGCTGTAATTTAGAAACATCTTCCGACCGTAATCGCGTTCCGTCGAAGGCGACCGAAGCTCGTGCGTGCCTCTGCTTGCGAGGGGAAGTTGGGGGGAGGCAAAGCGACGGAGAAAAGAAATCCTCAAAATAAATCCTGTCGCCGAGGTGAGGCTGCGTAGCCGGTGCGCTCAGCCCGCCGCCCGCGATGTTGTGACAGTGGAAAGTTGGCGGTGCCGTACCGTGTCCACACTTAGCTCTGTAATTAAACCCCGTAGTCTTGTACGGGGACATTGCATTTTCAAGTCCATACGACCATTCGTTTGTGTTTCTCGCTTGTGATGGGACTTTGTAGGATCAACGTTGTGGTTTATAAGGGTACGGGGGTGACTAAAAAGGTCTGAATTAGTCTGTAATAAGGTAGGCACTGATGAGGGGTTGACGGGTTTGCGGCGCCATCAGGGGCTTGTACTGGCGTGTCTACAAATCTGTGTACACGTGCGTGTGTATATGTATAGTGTGTGTATGTATAGTGTGTACAATCATGTGTGTGTGTACACGTGTGTGTATGTATAGTGTGTACAATCATGTGTGTGTATATATGTATAGTGTGTACACGTGTGTGTATGTATAGTGTGTACAATCGTGTGTGTATGTAGTGTGTACACTCGTGTGTATATGTATAGTGTGTACAATCGTGTGTGTATGTATAGTGTGTACACTCGTGTGTGTGTATGTGTATGTATAGTGTGTACACTCGTGTGTGTGTGTATGTATAGTGTGTACACTCGTGTGTGTGTGTGTATAGTGTGTACAATCGTGTGTGTATGTATAGTGTGTACAATCGTGTGTGTGTATGTATAGTGTGTACAATCGTGTGTGTGTATGTATAGTGTGTACAATCGTGTGTGTGTATGTATAGTGTGTACACTCGTGTGTGTGTGTGTATGTATAGTGTGTACACTCGTGTGTGTGTGTATGTATAGTGTGTACACTCGTGTGTGTATGTATAGTGTGTACACTCGTGTGTGTGTGTATGTATAGTGTGTACACTCGCGTGTGTGTGTATGTATAGTGTGTACAATCGTGTGTGTGTATGTATAGTGTGTACACTCGTGTGTGTGTGTGTATGTATAGTGTGTACACTCGTGTGTGTGTGTATGTATAGTGTGTACACTCGTGTGTGTATGTATAGTGTGTACACTCGTGTGTGTGTGTATGTATAGTGTGTACACTCGTGTGTGTGTGTGTATGTATAGTGTGTACACTCGTGTGTGTGTGTATGTATAGTGTGTACACTCGTGTGTGTATGTATAGTGTGTACACTCGTGTGTGTGTGTATGTATAGTGTGTACACTCGTGTGTGTGTGTGTATGTATAGTGTGTACACTCGTGTGTGTGTGTATGTATAGTGTGTACACTCGTGTGTGTGTGTGTATGTATAGTGTGTACACTCGTGTGTGTATGTATAGTGTGTACACTCGTGTGTGTATGTATAGTGTGTACACTCGTGTGTGTGTGTGTGTATATGTATAGTGTGTACACTCGTGTGTGTGTATGTATAGTGTGTACACTCGTGTGTGTATGTATAGTGTGTACACTCGTGTGTGTATGTATAGTGTGTACACTCGTGTGTGTATGTATAGTGTGTACACTCGTGTGTGTATGTATAGTGTGTACACTCGTGTGTGTATGTATAGTGTGTACAGTCATGTGTGTGTATGTATAGTGTGTACAGTCATGTGTGTGTATGTATAGTGTGTACAATCATGTGTGTATATATGTATAGTGTGTACAATCATGTGTGTGTATATGTATAGTGTGTACAATCGTGTGTGTATGTAGACTGTGTACAATCGTGTGTGTGTATACGTATAGTGTGTACAATCGTGTGTGTGTATGTATAGTGTGTACAATCGTGTGTGTGTATGTATAGTGTGTACAATCGTGTGTGTGTATGTATAGTGTGTACAATCGTGCGTGTGTATGTATAGTGTGTACAATCGTGTGTGTGTATGTATAGTGTGTACAATCGTGTGTGTGTATGTATAGTGTGTACAATCGTGTGTGTGTATGTATAGTGTGTACAATCGTGTGTGTGTATGTATAGTGTGTACAATCGTGTGTGTGTATGTATAGTGTGTACAATCGTGTGTGTGTATGTATAGTGTGTATGCATGTATGTATAGTGTGTACAATCATGTGTGTGTATGTATAGTGTGTACAATCATGTGTGTATATGTATAGTGTGTGTATATGTATAGTGTGTGTGTATATAGTGTGTGTATGTATAGTGTGTACAATCATGTGTGTGTGTATGTATAGTGTGTACACTCGTGTGTGTACCCTCATGTGTACGTACGTTGAACATCTTTCCCATCGTACGTAGCCCACCGTGCACATCGGAGGTGCGGGTGTACAGTCGTGTGTGTGTGTACAATCTTATACGTGTATAGTGTTTGTACAATCTTGGGTACAGTACTGCGTGTACAGTCGTGATTATATATGGAGTGCGTGTCCAGTCTTGTATCGTGTGTATAATCACGTGAACAGTTCTGTGTAGTGCGTGCTTACAATTCCGTGTGTGTGTGTGACCAGTGTGTTTGTGATTGTTTTGTAATGTGTACGAGTGTCACTACACACACACACCGTGCTGCGTGTAGAGTACTGCGACTGTACGTGTGTTCACTTGCTTGCACGTGTGATTGTGTGATAGTTTCATGACCACGCAGTACTGTGCTTGTTCTGTTACATGATGTGTGGTTGTGTATGGGTATGAGTGTGTATAGTATATGGATATGCGTAGCTATGAGAGTGTGTGTGTGTATATATATTTATACTGAACTGGTCCTCCCCTAGGTCGACCCAGCCTCAAATGAGTACCTGGTGCGGTGTGTAGTAAACATCGCCACTGGGGAGACAAAGGCGGCCGGGCGTGGTTGCTGGCCACCCACCCCCTCGTGTACCGTTCCGGCCTTAATAGGTGCTGCTCGCTGACAGCACTTGCCCCTACGGGTCTGTTAAAGGCTACAAGGGGGATCTTTGTCTTTGTGTGCGGGTTTCAATTCCCTGCCACGGCCAACATCGGTGGCGAAAAAGGGTTGCCACCTGTCCGGGATAGTACGGGAATTGGCCTCTCTTCTAGATTTAATTCTAGATTTTAAGCTCTCTGTTCGAGTGGCAGCGATTATCGTGTTGTCCCGAGATCTATCCCCCGACATTTACTTCTACCGACGTCTGGCACCGGTATTCTGTTGTATTGCGTGGCATTGTGTTTGAACTATTGTGATGTCCGTTCACTGCACAGCTTTGACAATGGACCGAGTGCTGTGACCGAGGGGATAACTGCGCGGTCGGGGTTTTGTTGTACTGCACTGCAAGAAGGTGGTAACGAGAGTGGAGAATGATGCCCGAGCCGGCTCATGGCCCTCTCCTCTGTCGGTCGTTTTCAGACTTGAA